GGATAGTCTTGTCCTGTCTAGTCTAGTCTAGTCTAGTCTTGCTACCCAGTGATTAGGCTAACTGGGGTATGTAAGCCTATTGTACTTGCTGCTTTTTTTTTTAAAGAGAGCTTTGGCTTGTAGGCAGTGTAGAAGTTAAACAAACAAACAAACAAACATGAGGAAAAATCTGTACTGTGTCAGAATCCCAGAATCTCAATTTGAGAAGAGGGAATAAAACTCGGGTTCGTGGAAAAGATCAAGCGTCCAGACCATCTAGGCTTTATTGTATTACCCAGGTTCCCCGCGGGTCCATACTCACGATAATGCATTACCAGGCAGGCAGAGTGAACTCTGCTGCAAAGCTTCAATACCATTACAGGGCATTTATAGGTACACAGGTACAGGGCAATTGATGACAGAATGCAGAGATTACAATAAGATTCTGAGGTCATCACATACAGAACAGATGCAGAAATTTCAGTCAATCACACAGTAACAATGAGATTACAATATTTCTAATTGCCTGTATTGACACTTTAGTTCAGTAGCTTGAACCCATCTCCAGGTCTGCTTAGACATGTAAATTCAAGCTACTGAGAAACTATGCATGATAAGCTCAAGACTCTTATCTACTCTAGACTTTCTGAACTGGCCAGGGCACATGGAGCCTCTGGGCTATCAAAAGATACTTCCTTGTAAACTGAATTCCAACAATGATCATTTAATCATTGTGAAGATATACAATGTAAATTTGGACTAAATGGCCTGTGTACTGTAGCTTACAGCTAAAGGTGAGAGAAAGAAGCGGTGGGGGGGGGGGTGCCATTTTAAACAGTGACAGCTTGGTTTTGAGAAGGAAGGCAGGATTTGATCCCACAATGCAAAAAGCACACAGAAGTAATGCTTTTCAGGCAGGATTTATCCAAGTTTTCCCAACAACTGCTAACTTGGAGATGGAAAGCTACGTAGAAATAAGCTACTGTAGTAACATCCCACAACTCAAGGCCAGGATAGTGACTGAACTGTGTTTTTCCTATATACACAAGATCTATCCATGAGATCTTCCAAGGAAGTGTTGTCAGTCATGCTACAGCCAACAATGTGTCATCAAGTAATGGCATGTAAGTGGATGCTTTTGGTAGTGATACTCATTCTCTGGAATGCTCTCCTGCACGTAGTCCAAGAGGCAGAAACTGGGGCAAACTTTAGACACTTCTTAAAGATGTACTTATTATTCCGTCTTTCCAGATGTGCAATTGCACTGCTTTCTTTTATAATTTCTGTAATGTTTTGTCATGTGTTCATTATTTTGTTATGTATATTTCATGTTGGTTTTTATATTGCATTTTCTTTATTTCTTATGCCATCTGCTTAGAGATATTATGATATCAAGTGGTAAATAAGTAGTTAAACAAACAAACAAGCGCTCTCTTTGACTATGTCTGCCTGACTGCCCTCCCTGAACAGTTTTACTAGGACTGGTAGGTGCTATTAGATGTGCTATTAGATGTGCTATTAGAAAGCAAAGAGAAAGTGAGAAATGTTTGTGTATGTGGGATCTGTAGACTTCCAGCAGGGAGGATCCCTTCTCCTTTTGGTTTGGAAAACAGAGCTGATTTTCAGTACTTCAGGAAAACAGAAGTTCCTTTTTAAAGTCAGCAGTCACTGTATCAACTGCCACCCACAACTCAGCCCGATTTGCATGCTTGGCAATCCACATACCTCAAACAGAGAACAGCCTTCTATCCTTTCAGACCCTTGGTCCATCTAGCTGGGGCATGCTGGGAGTTGTAGGACTTTTCTCTGTCTACATATGCATAGGACTATTCTCTTAAAATATGTATATCCTGCCTTTCCATCTTGCTTTGAAGACAGCTGATATCATTAGAGGGAAAATAATACAGCCTTAAATTAGCAAAACACAAGATAGTGTTGTAGACTGAAAAACAAGATAAAATTCTCAGAGGATGAACATTCACAGGCTATCCAGGCTAAGAAGCTTTTGGAGCATGTAAGCTTTCATTCTGCATCTAAATACTATTAAAGAAGGCATTGAATACATCACCCAAGCCTGGCAGTTCCATTGCCTGGAAAAAGCCCTTTCCCAACCATACCTCTGGTGACAGGACAAAAAGCAGGGCCTCTCCCTACCATCTGGGCAGGCAATCCAAAAACAATAAATTTGGCTTGACAATAACCTTACTTGGCATGTGGGAGAAGAGAGTCCCTTGTAACCTGCTTCCAAGCTCAGTCAGATTTATTTGGTTCTAAGTTACTGAGGGCATTAAAGACAAGAACCAACATTAAGGGTCTAGAAATAAACTAAAAAGTAGTGAAGCTAATCAATCAGTCAATCAATCAATCTTTATTATGCAGTCACAGACAAACAAAACTCAAAAGAACATTGCAAAAACAATTAAAAACAGTTAAATAAATTACATTATTGACTTAAAAAAACAACTTATAATACCTGAGGCATGGATCATCTTGCATGTTCTTTATGAAGATAGGTAAAATATGGCCACTAATTCTGTGTTGAACTTACTCGTATCGGCTAGGAAATAGTTTAAATACCAATCAAAGTCCTACCTGGGAAATAAGTTATTACAGGGGTCAAGAAAGTGAAGTTAATGCAATAGCAGGGTTCATGTGTCAAGTAACCAGCATCAGGTAAAGCTCTCGCTGACATCCAGTGGATTACGGATCTCCTAAACTAATTCGGAATGTCCATAGCCTCCTTGGAATTCCCTTTACTTATTTGTAAGACTGACTCATCATCCTACAGCTAGTGGTTCTCAGGGTAAAGTACAATAAAAGCATATATAAAATCCAAAATCCATATACAGCCAATCAACAGGAACAAAATTAAGCAAATTAAAAGTAGCAGTCAATTAAAAATACAGAGGCTAAAACAAACATCACAAAGAATCTAAAAATATCAGAGATAAAACCACTTAGGGCATAACTCCAAGGTCTCTTGGTGTTATCAAATACAACTCAGGCTACCTCTCCAGAAGGGTACCGATGGTATCAAAAGGGACTAAGAGGTCCAGAAGAATCAACAAGGTCACACTCTGTTGTCAAAGATCACCCCATGAAGTACTCAAGGAAGTTTAAATGCCACCACCAGGCCTGAACCTGATTGATATGGAGGCAGAAAAAAAGACAGGACTTCTGATGGAGAGGAGAAACAGTTATTAGCAGTGTACTGATGGCACCAACACCTTTGGACAATCTCTCCTAGTGGTTTCATACAGATACTAAACAATACTGGGGACAAGATAAAACCCAAAGGACCGCCATAAGCCTAAAGCCATTATGTTGAACAGAAGTCCCAGAGCACCACCTTCTGGACCTGAGCTTCCAGTCCCAGGACCAGAATCAGAGCAAAATGGTGCCTCTGTTTCTTCCATATTCAGGCGTTCCATATTCAGGGTCCCACATTTGCTGGTACCAAAAATGGTTGAGAGCTCAGCAAAAGCAGCAGACACCCCATCTCTATCCAGTAGTTCCCAACACAGATTACCCAGCAGTGTGGCCAAGTCTGTGTCTTTTCTAGCACTTGGTCTGAAAGCAGGTTAATATGGACATAGAAAATCTTTATTGTGCTGTCTGGTAGTAGGTAAGGCCAGGAAAATGACAGGAACAGTAGAAGATGCTAGCTGAGCTGTGAATGGCGCTCATAACACACAGGAAGGTTAAAAGCACAGAAGAGAAATGGAGGTGGAAGGGTCATGTAAGGCCATCCAGCCCAATCCCTGCTCCGCTTCTACCTCTGGTCACCCATCTGGCTGCAGGCCCACACCTTTCTAGCTTGGCAAAGGTGACTCAACAGACTAGCTCAATGGACAGCTATGGAGGCAGGTTCAGATGCTCAACCCTTCATACTCATATTGGCCGAGGAGAGGGGTTGCATCGGCTGTGCAAGTCCGCCCTGTCCCCTTCCGCTCAGCCTACATCAGATGGGGCTCTGTACGTGTATGGCTGTGCCCTTCTTCCACAATAAGTGTGGAGGAAGGATCCAGACAGACCGTGTGGACGCAAATGGGCATACTGGGAAGCCTGGGATCATGTTTTATCTTATGGAGAAACATATAAGGGGGTTGTGCACTTCCGCTCTGTGTATGCAACCTAGAGGGCAGTTAGTCGAACGACGGCCACTCACGACTGCCCTGTTGGAAGTCAACTCGCCTTAGGACCCGGGAGGATTCCGCGCCACGCCTCCCCCCCCCCCCCCCCCGCACCCGCTCGCCCTGCCGCCGATTCCTTGAATCAATGAAAAAGCTAGGAGGGGCAGGCTCTCCATAAACCTGGCTGCTTAAGCCGTATCCCGGGCAGCAATTTTACAACTTCTTGCGTCCTTGCTGCAAGAGTGGGTTTTCTTCCCGGCTTCGCTTGCAACACTGTGTGCGCGGCTTTCGAGAATCCCCCCAGGGCGGGAAAGGGAAGCGGGAAAGATTGCGCAGGGATGTGAGGGGACTGGATTGGATTGGGCAAGGGCGCAACGCGTAGAAGTAAACCAGAATGACTGTCCGTCCTTGTCAAGAATTTCCACCAGGAGCAGCAAGTGGGAAGGAAGGGGAGCCCCGTTCCCCTGCCCAGGAGGGTGCGGGAGAGGTCCCAGCGGTGGTGCGGCTGGGGCCGAACTTTAGCACAACTTTCGGCAGAAGTGCCAACGAAAGGATCATCTTGCTCTGAGGTCTCCACGAGCTCAGCCCTCACTCACACCGGGGTGGTGGCGGGGGAAGGACGGCAAACCCAACTTGTGCGCTTCCGTGCGCGCCTCTGAAGATCTGAGAGAGCCTTCGCGGGAAGCGCTTTCTCACTCTGTAGAACTGGGCTTAGTAAGCTCGCCAAGGAGGGTTCCCTTGTTGTGGTTTCAATCAGACCGTCTGAAGAGTAGTTGCTGTCCCCACGCCCCCGCCGCCAGCCCTCCCTCCGCCCTGCGGCTCCTTCCCGGCCCTGCCGGGCACTCGCGGGTGAAACCTCCGCCGCCGCCGCCGCCGCCGCCGCCGCCCCCCGTCCAAGTCGCTTCACCAAGCACGCCCGTGCGGGACGAGAAGAGCTCTCCTTCTGCAGGCAGAAGATGCTGGCGGGACAATAGCAGCCCGACAATAGCGGGCTCGGTCCAGCATGGCTGTGTACGCCCTTACTGGCTTCTCTCTCGTCAGCCTGCTCAGCTTTGGATACCTGTCCTGGGACTGGATGAAGCCGGACTTGGTGTCCGACGTTCCCCCGATGGGGAAGTCCGTCCAGGCTGCTTCTCTCTCCAGACCTCCGCACATCGTCTTCATTCTGACGGACGACCAGGGCTACCACGACGTGGGCTACCACGGCTCAGATATCCAGACACCAACGCTGGACAGGCTGGCTGCAGAGGGGGTCAAGCTGGAGAATTATTACATCCAGCCCATCTGCACCCCCTCCAGGAGTCAGCTGATCACGGGAAGGTAAGCGCTGCAGCGGCCGCTGCGGCCAGTCAGCGAGCAAAGGGCTGCCCAGAGACCTCTGACTCTTGGAGGAGACAGAGGTTTCAGGGATTCGCTCCAGTGCTTGCCCCCAGACGGGGTTACAGTGGCAAAAGACCACTCATTAAACACCTGGCCAAAGGGAGTGCCTTTGTTCTACTAAATAGAACAGGATATTATAGCAAAATGTGTGGCTGGTATATCAAAGTCAAGATGCATATGGCATGCGTGCAAGTGACTTTGTTGATGTCATGGTCCATCAAGTTGTCTTTTACCTATGGCAGCCCACAGTTTAGGCAATTCCTAATAGTTCTGTAGAAAAAGAGAGAGAGGCAGACTTTAAAAGCTAAGAGCTAGGTTGTTTAAAAGAGTTTACAAAAATAGATTTCAGACCCTTAGTCTTTTGATTTGAATGCTAAAGATAGATGGTGATGCACTTTTCAGCTGTTAGCTGCATGCAACAGTTCAGTTTATCAAATCTGCAAAATGAACTGTGAAGAGATGCCTGACATCGGTTCCCAGCTAGTGACTGGGTTCGGACAACCTCTGCTTAAAGACCATGCTATGGATTAAATGGGTGTTGCTACTGAAACATGGGTTGTGGTTGAAAGATGGATTGTGTTGTCTGACCTCAGCTGACATAACAAATCATGAATATCCACCGTTTACAACCCAGCAACAAACCATGGGTTGTACGTAGTTATGTGTCATGACTCGTTAGTGCAGCTAGGTTCAAACAGGATGACATCCCGTCAACAGTGCACACTCAAGCCTTGAGCATGGATTATGTTGTCTGAGTCCAGTCAGTGCACCGTGATTCAGGGAGTATTGGGATCCAGCCAGCCCTTTGGGCATGAATTGGCTGCATGGCCTTAAATGTCAGTATGTCACTATATGGTCCTACCATGTAATAGGGGAATAGTACTGGCCAAGGTCCCAGGATGACTGTTAGGATGAATGTTAGGAAGCTTTTCTCCCCTTAAGTGAACTACAGACACAGTTCATGAAACACGGGTTTGAGGGAATACACTGATCCCATCAGACAGCACGCCACACCCCAGCTCTCCCTTTAATTTTGCTCCAGATAATGCAAGGTTTATTTTTCTTAGCAGCAAGAGCAACACACCCCACTTTTACGGGGAACTTTCAGAAAGTATATAAGACAGACCCCTAAAAGTATTGCATGTAGATGAGAAAAGACCACTGCCTGCCAAAACACAAGAGATGCCTGTACCAATAAAGAAAAATATATAAAATATAAAACTTATAGCAGAAATATGGCAATGATGAGTATATAGCTTTAAGTGGTAACTATGAATCTATCATGGGGTTTAAAGCGGTGATTCCAAACTGACTTTATTTGGTTGTATCTCATGGAAATGAACTGCTAATCACAGGGTCTGCTGCAAATTGTGAATATAAAGCAAGTATAGACTCCTTTCTGTTCTGGTCTGCAGGAAGGTCCTCAGTTAGGGGGCGTGTATTATATGTAATTCACTGAACAATTAACTTCAGAGCCATTCGAATCACAGCAGCATGATCTGCTCCATAGATTAAAGCATGTAGGTGGGGTAGAAAGGTATGGACTGGCCCCTCACAACGCCCCCAAATCCCTTATTCTCTATGTATACAGGACAAAGATTTTTCTTCCAATGCCGTTCCTAATGAGGGGTACCTACTGAGCCCTGGAATAACAGGGAGCAGAGGCTAGCGAGACCAAGCGCATGGCTGAAGCTGAAGTAGGGCTGTGTGTTCAGCAACCTAACCACCTGTTTTCCTTCCATTACCTGGAACACATCTGGACAGAGAGGACACCATGTGAAAGACCTGCCAAACACTACATGTCCTGCACGCCTAAGTTGACTGCTGCAGTAATGCATTCAGTTCATTCCTAAAACTCCCTAAACCACCAAAACAAACTTTCTGAATGGGAAAACTCTGCACTGCCTCCGTTCTTCAAATTGCCTCAGTGTGCCAGATTTGCAGTGTCCCCGTCTGCAGTCAAACAGCCAGGAAGCAAAGAAACTCCTATAAGGCTATTACCCAAACGCTTTTTACTCACAGCACAAAGAATGAGGTCACAAGCATAACTTTCCCATGCTGTGCAGGCCAGGCCAAGAGAAGGGCCAAAAAGGGCAGGCCAAACCCCATGGTTGTCCCTCCCTAAAAAGGAAAATACGTGCAGGATTGGGGAACAGATCATCTCCCGTCCCCAGGCACAAGGGAACAGAACAGACTCCCCGTGAGTCAAAGCAACTTTGTGCCAGGGAGCCATAGGTCATCTGTTCCATGCAATTTCATTTCCAGGGTGCCAGACAGTCAGCGATAGCAGGCCATTCTTCGGCACTTGGCTGGACTGTCTTGCACACAAGACAGATGATCCAGAAATGAGGTAAATGAAATGGAATAGAAAAAGAATGCCTAAGGGCCAGGTGAATAATTTGCAAGCAGGCTAATCTTGCTGGTCTGCAGGTACAGAACGGGTTTGGAGGGAGCATGAGGTTCTTCAGGCCGCAATCCTATATACTACCCTTCTCTAATATGCTGCCCCCTGCATCCTCTGGGCCTCATCCTCATCCTTTTTTCTCACTAAACTTACAGAGGGTTGCATCATTAGAAAAGTAGGTTTAAGTAGAATAACAGTATGATTAGGGCTGCAATTCTCTTCCCATTTGCCTAGGAGTGAGCTCCATTGAATGCTTGCTGACTTACTTCTGAGTAGACATTATAGGGGCAGGTAATGCCTAACTACTTAGTCTTGCACATGTGGTTGTTTTCTGGATATCCCCCCTTCACCTTTCAGTTTCATAATGTCCAGCCTGTCCTTAGGAAAACGAGAAATAAAAGCAGCAGTCAAATAAATATTTGGGTTAAGATAGGAATGACTGTGAATCCTTAAGAGTGCTGCTGCTTACATTTAGCATCCTGATTTTCCAGGAAGAAGTGTCCCTCCTCCTGATTGTAGCTCTGTCTGGAGGGCTCCATGTGAAACTGAACAAACCCACCCCTTCTGGCAGCTGCTGAACAATCAGCCTGTTAGGCGTGCAGGCAGAGTCAGCGGGCTTCTAAGGATGCTTCTCTGCCTGGCCTGCTGCCCACACTAAGCCTCTAAACAAGCTGATATTTGGCTTTTTCATCTGCCATCTGAAAATATATCTAATTATTTCAGTCAGAAAGCATGATGCAATGTGATATTAATAACTGGATTAAATGATTACATGACATTTGAGGCTCATCTTGCACTCTTGACCAATTATGTTACTGGGATTGGGGCCTTCCTGTCTGATTATCCTCTGCTAGGAATGATGCTTGCATCCTTTCCAGAGATAGCCATGAGTTTCCAGAAATCCTGCTAGAATTGCACTGAGATTGAAGACAGGTGTTGTATAAAAAGAGGGTTTATTAGCCTGTCCTCCCGCCTTTCTGAGAGTCTATCCCAGAGGTGCACAGCCTGTGCCTCCCTATGCCCAAATTCCCTTGGGGGGCATGATCCCAGCTGCCCCCAAACCCTTGCCCCCAGCTCATCCCTGTGATTGCCACCAGCAACACAGATGGCTCTTGCATGAGGCTCACTTGGGGAGGAAATGGAGAGCCTTCCATATTGGGGTTCCTGAGGGGATGCATGGAGAAAAGTCTCCCTAGCCCCAGCAGTCCTCATACAGATCGCTGCTAGCAGTGAGGATATGGCTATTTGTATCAGGATTACCAGGATATGTGCACATTGCACAGCCGCCAGGCCAGGCCCGCATGTGGCCTTCGGGGATGAAAAGGCTGTGCCACCCCTGTGCTGTCCCCACAGTGGGACTGGCCAGAAAGCAGTGCAGGCGGTGGAGCCTTTTCCCCTCGGAGAGCTGAAAAATGGACTGTGACCAGCACACACAAGCATCATGTATGCCCCCAGTATGAGACTCCTGAGCATACAGCTGGGTGATCTTTAAGGAAGATCCAGTGTTCTGCTGGGCAAATGGATCTCCAAAATACATACATGAAGGGCACTGCAATTCAGGATTCTCTCTTTGTTTCCGTCTTCTCTCCTCTCCCCTCCCTAGGTACCAAATCCACACAGGGCTTCAGCACTCCATCATCCGTCCCCGGCAGCCTAACTGTTTGCCCTTGAACCAGGTCACTCTCCCCCAGAAGCTGCAGGAAGCTGGCTATTCCACCCACATGGTTGGCAAGTGGCACTTAGGGTTCTATCGGAAAGAGTGCCTGCCCACCCGCAGGGGCTTCGACACCTTCCTGGGCTCGCTGACGGGGAATGTGGATTACTACACCTACGACAACTGCGATGGGCCAGGGGTATGTGGCTATGACCTTCACGATGGAGAAAATGTGGCCTGGGAACAAAGTGGCAAATATTCCACTTTCCTCTACACTCAGCGGGTCAGCAAAATCCTCGCTTCCCACAGTCCTAAGGACCCCATCTTCATCTATGTGGCATTCCAAGCTGTGCACACCCCACTGCAGTCCCCAAAGGAGTACATCTACCGTTACCGTTCCATGGGCAACGTTGCACGCCGCAAATACGCGGCCATGGTAACATGCATGGACGAAGCTGTGAAGAACATCACCTGGGCACTGAAGAAGTATGGCTACTATGACAACAGTGTGATTGTGTTCTCCACAGACAATGGCGGGCAGACTTTCTCGGGGGGAAGCAACTGGCCCCTGCGAGGCCGTAAAGGGACCTACTGGGAAGGAGGAGTCCGTGGCATTGGGTTTGTCCACAGCCCATTGATTAAACGCAGGCGGAGGACCAGCAGGGCGCTCATTCACATAACGGACTGGTACCCCACTCTGGTGACCTTGGCTGGGGGCAACTTGTCTGAAGCTGATGGTTTGGATGGGTACAATGTGTGGCCAGCCATCAGCGAAGGCAAAGAGTCTCCACGCATGGAAATCCTACATAACATCGACCCTCTCTATAACCATGCCAAATACGGCTCTTTAGAGAAGGGCTTTGGCATATGGAATACTGCGGTACAGGCCTCAGTACGGGTTGGGGACTGGAAGCTTCTTACGGGAGACCCTGGTTATAGTGACTGGATCCCACCACAGACTCTGACCAACTTCCCAGGGAGCTGGTGGAACCTAGAGCGCCTGACAGACGGGATGCGCAAATCCGTCTGGCTCTTCAACATCACGGCTGACCCGTACGAGCGCTATGACCTGGCAGAGCAACGGCCAGATATAGTCAGAGCTCTCCTCATCAGGCTTGTCCGCTACAACCAGACTGCCATTCCAGTCAGATACCCAGCAGAAAACCCTCGAGCTCATCCAGACTTCAATGGTGGTGCCTGGGGACCCTGGGCAACCGATGAGGAGGAAGTGTGGGAGGGAGGGCATGGGAAACTGAAAAACAAGAAGCGGAAGAAGAAATGCAAAATCTGCAAACTGCGCTCTTTCTTCCGGAAGCTCAACACCAGGCTGATGTCGAACCGCATCTGAGGAGAGCAGGGCTCTTGCCAGAACCGCATCTGAGGAGGGCAGATGCAACCGTGAAGGAACATTGTTCAGAATATCACAAAGCAGGCAGGGAGTTACACATAGAAGCAGGAGGACAGTTTCATTCTCCCATTTCTGGTGGTGAGAGTGGAGTGGAATATCATTCTGTTGCAATTCTGGTGGACCTAACTGAGTTTAGCCAAACTACGACACCGTCGTTTCCCCCCTCTCACTTTGAAACCAGCCTAGTGCCTTCCCTCTCCTCCCACTTTGGGCATTGACCAGACCAGTGCTCATTTGTGCAGGGAAACAGGGCCTGTTAGTTCCAGTCTCTGATAGCTTGCCTAGCGAGTTATGGGGACCGTCCCTTCCTAGAGATTCCATAACACATTTTCAGGAAAGATCATGATTGATGCACAATATGTGCATTACAATAAGATGCAATACTGTGAAGATGTTTTATGCAGGCCTTCGAGAAGCCAGAATAACAACTTGCCACAAGGGCAAGGTATCTTCTGCTAAGCAAAGCTGAAACCAAATTCTTCTTAAAATGCTAAAGGTTTTTGTCAATGTCTGCTCAGCAACAGGAGCTGCTTTGGGTTTGCTATTTCCTCGTGAAATACTGACCATGAATAATGACCTTATATGATGTAATGATTTTGCTCTGGGAAAAAGTATTATCTCCCCTCCTTCAGGGCTGCAGCTTTCCCCTCCTGATCACTGCACTGCATGTGGGTGGTGATACAGAAGACCCGAGACCGTTATTTTTATCAGCCATAGAATCCAGATCTGGAACAATGTGAACATTTTCTCCTAAATATACATACGCCAAACATCTTGTAAGTGTAGGCAGGAACCGTCATTAAAGTGCATGCCAGCATTGCACAGGTTTATATGTGCAGACTAAAATATGCAGCCAAACATGGATGGTGGAGCAGTGGTTACATATTGAACTCTATGTCTGCTCATGTACATAGAGATGCATAAACATTTTCTTTTGTGTCGTCTCCAAGCTGCACAATTGCTCTCCCACAACGGACCTGAAAGGAAGCTACTGCCCTTATGGAGCTCCTTTTGGTGTTCTCTTCCCTTGCAGTCCAGCACTGCTGCACATAAGGTGCCTCTTGTCTGCCCATGTTTCAGTGCAAGGACCCAAGAGAATTACTACAAATCCCTTCCATGTGTCATTTTGCATTAAAAACAGATCACAGGAAGGATGCATATATAGAATTAAGTCAGACCTAGTTAAACAAAGTCCTACTAGTGCTACATGCTGGCAGCAGTTGCTTGAAGTATTTCTTCCGACAGAGCATAAATTAACTTGTGGCATTAATTGCTGCAAATGTGGTAATGACTACTAGGTTAGTTTTTAAATTTTATTTTTAAGATTTGAGGTGGATTACTCTATTACCAGCTGTTAGTCATGATAGCAAAATAAAACCTTCATATTCAAAAGCAGAGTACCAGATGCTGAGGACCAAAAGGTATTCTCCACAAATGATTGCAAGTTTCCAGCTCTATCTGGCTGGTCAGTGTGTGTGTGTGGGGGGGGGGGGGGGCTGCATTAGATGGTCCAGCAAGGCACTTCTTGTGATCTTACATTTCCAAAGTATGAAAGGATACCTGTCCAAGGTGCCTGCAATAAGCTGGAAGAGATTCAGAAACCTCTGGAAAAATGAGGAACCCGTGACTCCTCTCTTTCACCTAAGAACAAGTAAGCAAACTGTAGTTGTGCTGTTACGACACAGGAAACTGTTTTATTACGCCTGGGCTGTTCATGCGACACATCAGCCCACCAAGGGCTCTTACTGGTCTGCCTAGTTCAGGAACAATTGCTCGTCAGAGTTTCAAACAGGATCTTTCCTTGAAGAAATTGCACACGTGGACCTGAGGAGATCTTTGTATTCAAAGCCTATGGTTCGCTTCTGAGCTGCAACCCCTGAACTATGGTGGGTGAAAATGCCCAGTTGTGTATGCAGGCACAGGGACTTAAGCATGCTCCAGGAGAGGAAGAAGATGTGGCTGAAATGACATGGACTGTTATGCCAAGATAATGCCTAAATCCTCATTGGATAAAGGAGCCGTCTGTCACCTGCCCGGTCTTGTGTACCCACCCTTCTTATGCTAGATTTGCAAACACAGGTATACCTTTAAAGAACAGGTGCTGGTGTGCACTGAGAGCAACCACAGTGAGAAATTGCCTTTAGAAGCCTGGCTCTGAATGTTGGCACCTTCTCCAGTTTCTTCCTTTTTGAGGACTGCTTTCTGTTGCTCCACCTTGATGTGGCAATAGAGGCCGTGTTGTTTGCCTGCGGACTCCCAGGGCAGGGCAGGGGAAGAGGAGGCAGACAATCATCATGTTTGGAAGTCTCAACAGAGTCATCCCTTTGATTGTTGGACTGTGAAATAGCAATGCCTTAATTTATTATGTAGGCCACTGCCTGGACATTTCTGCCTTTCTCATCTCCCATCATTGCATATGTTGGGTGAAGGCAATTGTTGGGGTGTTCAGACTAAGGGGAAGTGGTTATACCCTCCACTCCACTGCCTTTCTGTGCCTCTCCTCTCCTCTCCTCTCCTCTCCTCTCCTCTCCTCTCCTCTGGAGCGTAGAGACAATGTCTGTATGTGCATCACAGATGGGGCAAGCCATAAAGAAAGCAGATAAAGGTCCTGCATGAGTGGCGTTTATACTTACACAATGCATTTTGCATTTTCTCCCCACAGGTTTTACTTGGTGCAGTATGTGTAGGCGAAAGCCCTGCTGTGAATTTTGAAAAATAGTTATTTTTATCCCTGGAAAATGAGCCCTGTTAGAACTTGTCAGCATTTGGATGAGCTGTGTGAGGGTCTTTTTCCTTTCCTTTTAAAATAGTGAAGTAACATTCATTAAAAACCTGTCACTTAAAGCTGTGGCAGTTGGCGGCATTCATACTGCGTACCTTTGTTTGTTGTAAACTGCCCAGAGATCTTCAGCTATGGGTGGCATAGAAATAAATACATACATGCATGCTTTTGGTGGTGCTTCCAGGGATGGATTTACAGTGCTACTCTCATTTTATTAGATTATTAATTGATGACAATATCTTAGGGCTGGGGAGCCATGGTTGGGGGGGGGGAAAGAAATACTAGGGGGCTGTTCCTTGAATTAGCTAACAAAAGAAGGGCCTATTTTCATTTTTTGTTGTTGTTAGTCACGAAGTCGTGTCCGACCCATCGCGACCCCATGGACAACCTTCCTCCAGGCCTTCCTGTCCTCCACCATCCCCCGGAGTCCACCTAAGCTCACACCCACTGCTTCAGTGACTCTATCTAGCCACCTCATTCTCTGTTTCATTTTTTGAAGGGTGATAAATCAATGTATTATCCTGTGAGTGATGTAAGAGCCAAGGAGTGGCTTGGGCTTCCTGTTTTCCAAGTGGTGCCTTATTTGAGTGCATGGTATTCATTGAACATTCGAACCCAGGATGAGGTATCCACCCAGCATATGCTCCCAGTTGAAAACCCAGAGAAGCAAGGAGTGGGAGATGGAGCAATGCACCTGCTGATTGCTTTGGAATATCAGTATGTAGCCACCTAGTAAATGGTTCCCTGTATTCACTCAGTTGTGTACGTAAACATCAGGGAACTGCCACAGAGCAAAACCAGGCAACTTCAAGGCAGGCTGACCTTTGTGCTTTCACCATGGTAGGTGAATCAACACCCTTCTTTTACTCAGAACCCAAGGGTGGTATTCCAGGCCTGGTAGCTTCTCCTTACCACTCCACCCTTTTCTGTTCTCTTTTACAGCACCCATCCTATTCATATAACAAACAGCCACCAGCAGCTTCCAGATCTGTCCTCTGATGTATGAAGGGGCCACCATATATGCCCTCTGCAAGTCCCGTCCTATCCCCTGCAGCCCAAATTCAGGGGACAACAGTCCTAAATATGCTTACTATACAGCAAGCTCAACTGAGCTCTCTGGGATTAATATATAAGAAACATATTTAAGGTTGCAGTGACGGATGTCCAAATATAGGAAGAAAGAAGCAAAGGCCAGTGAACAGGCCTGGCTCTTGGTTGTGCTGCAGTTGAAGGATTCGGGTGTCTTTACTTGCAAAGGAAGCAAGATGCTTTGTGTATTGCCAGAAAGCAGAACTAGGATGATACCCTTACCCACGCAGCATTGTGAAGGAGTGCGAAAGAACTAGGCACAGAGAGCAACAATCATCCCCAGAAGTGGGGCTGGTAATAGGAACATAATGGCCATGGAGAGTCAGCAAGAATGTCCACAGAAGGTTAAAACAAATTGTAGAGGAGAGGTCTTAGCTATGGATAGCAAAATGAAACCCACAAGCACAGGGACAGTGTGCCCTGAACACCCCATCTGTGGTTCTCCAGCTGTTGCATTGCAACTCCCATCATCCCTCACCATTGGCTGCCCTTTTTGGGCCCAGGAATTGAAATCCAACAGCAGTCTGGAGAGATACAAGTGGTGCACCATTGGGTAGGAAGACACATTGGTCTAACTGACCAAGTTGGTTTTTATGTTCTCATCCAAGAGCTGTTTCTAATTGTAGCCCAATTTAGAGCAGACCCTTGGAAATAATTGGGCACAAGTCAGACTAGTCTTCAATACAGCCTCACATTTTTAGCTCTGGATTTAAAGAAATCAAAGCACCTTTTAAAAAACTATAAACTTGGAGAACGATCTTCCAGGATAGAAGAAACCAGGATACTGTCTCTTATTTCTAACCATACTTTTTGCTGCTGCACCTGCAGATGTAACCAGTTTCAGTAATGAAGTAAAAAATGACAGGCAATTTCTTTGATTGTGTTCTGTATAAATGATTTCTTGACTCTCCAGAGCCTTTTGCCCTTCGTTGGCTTCCCAAGATTCATTTTTTAAGTTGCACCATTAGGAGGAAAATGTTTGTGGCATTAATTATATTGAGAACTTTGTAAAATCTTTGTTTTTGCTTCTGTTTTTTTCTGCCACCCTCGCCAACTTGAATCAACAAAAACTGGGTTGTTCCTAAATTTTGTATTTCTCTGAGTGGGTGAGGAAATGAATATTAAAAATGTGAAGATGTAATGAGTTACAGCTATAGTTTGAAGACTGTATGCCATTTCCGTGCATTGTTTTATTCTATTAGGCAATTGTCCACTTGTCCAACAACCGTGTTATGAGTCTTTTTGCAGCTTTCCATACTGAAGGCCTGTGAAATTGAAGAGAGCAATCGGATCTCCAAAAGCACTTGAAAAAAAATGCGGTGGGATTTGGAGCTTTGGCAATAGCAGATTTGATTGCATGGCATTAAAGGTCAAACTCATCCATTCTATGACTGGGCCCGTCTTACATGGTCACCAGCATGAGCCAGGCAGGAGGATGGCCGTGGTTGGTCCAATACTGCTCTGTTTCTGCTTTGGCAAGCATCACCATGCTGAGAAAGGGACGTTTGCCAAGACAGAGGGAGATAATTCTTTTTTGTTCAATCTCTAGGAAATAAGCCATTTTTTAAAAGCTCTTAAAAGTGTCAGGAAGCCAAGCTATAGCCAGAGTCCCATGATGGAGTCTGGCCCATGAGCAGCAGCCGGTGGTCAGACAACATGATTTTTGGCATGGAAGCATGCAGGCAGGATACAAGGTATTCCTGCAGCTGTCTCTCCTTGGCTCCAGCACAGATCTGATAGTGCCATTAAGCCCTGGCCTTGGACACGCTGCTCTGCCTGTCACTGCAGTGAGCTTGGAAGGCTGTGAATAGCTGAGGAGCATATGAAATGGCCAGAGGGAGCTGTCTGTGAATGCCGTTGATTTCCCCCCGCTCGGTGTCAATCCGTAAAGGGCACAGCAAGTGAGAAAAACCAATTAAGTTCAGGAGAGCTTTGTGAAAATTCTATTTTCAAAGTGAAATGGCCTTTTTTGACTCTGCAGAGCAATCACCCAGGACACACTGCTGCCACGTTCCTGTTTATCTGTGGCAACTCTGTTGTTTTCCCTGCTTCTGGAATTTTCAGTGCCAGCAGCAGCTTGCTGACTTCCTACTGGGCACAACAGCCCTTTCTTTCTCTGCCACACTGCACATTGTGTGAGGAATTAAAACATGTGGCACTAGGCAATTGTTCCAACATCTTAACACAATGGTGCTGAGTAGACCGCTCCTTTCTACCAGCACATCCCTTTCTCTTCTCACTAGTCTGTTAGCCCACTTTCCATTTATCTGCCAAACTTTCCCCTTCCAAGGGCTCTCTTTTAGTTTTGGTGCGGTGGTATGCATAAGAGTTGCTAGCACAGTGCTTTAAGTGAAAATGAAAAGTGTCATTATACCAGAGGCTGCCGGCGCAGTGGAAGCAGGACCCTGGTCCTCTTTCATGCCAACAGAAAAAGCTTCACCTTTGCAAACTGTGGGATAACAAATACCTTTGGCCCAAATGGAGCTAACACAGATGGGACGGAGGGTAGCGGGA